ATAGCCGGCTCAAAGCTGAAAAGCCAGGGGGGGAGCTAGCGGGTCAGACGCGTCGCGTGGCTAGCTCAGGGGGCTACAGGGGGTCGCTAGCTAGCCATAGCTTTGGCTAGCTGAGCGTACACAGCTAGCTGCTGTGCAGCTAGCCATATAGCTAGCTGCGGGGCTAGCTGGGTTGCTAGCTGGTTCGCAGCTAGCTCGATAGCTAGCTGCGTGGCTAGCTGGGTAGCTAGCTGGTATGCAGCTAGCTCCATGGCTAGCTGCGTGGCTAGCGGGATAGCTAGCCAGCATGCAGCTAGCTAGCTAGCTAGCTGCATGGCTAGCTGTGCTAAAAACGTTTTTTTATTATGCCTCCTCAGTGCGTCCGTTGGCTTGGGCTTCGGGGGCATCCGCAGTAGCGTGGGGACCTGCAGCAGCAGCAGCAGCAGCAGCAGCAGCAGGAACAGAAGCAGCAACAGCACATGAGTTCACAGCAGCAGCAATAGTAACATAGCAGCAACAGCAGCAAAAATAGCAGCAACATCAGCAGCAGCAGCACGAATAGCGGCAACAGCAGCAGCAGCAATAACTGCAGCAGCCGCAGCACCACCACCATCACCACGACCAGCAGCAGCAGCAGCAGCAGCAGCAGCAGCAGCAGCAGCAGCAGCAGCAAGAGTACCTGCGGCTTGGCGAGTTGAGTCGACGGGCTACTTTCGCATGGCCTCTGTGAAGGCCTCGTGCAGCTCAAATATGTTTCTCTGCAGCAGCAGCAGCAGCAGCAGCAGCAGCAGCAGCAGCGGCAGCAGCAGCAGCAGCAGCAGCAGTAGGAGATGCGTGAGAGGATGCAGCAGCAGCAAGAACGACACTAGATCCGCAGCAGGGCCTATCAAGGGTTTAGGGTTTAGGGTTTAGGGTTTAGGGTTTACCTTGTCTTCACGTTGGGCGCGCCTCTCCATTCTCTTCTGTTGCTGCAATCACAGCAGCAGCAGCAGCAGCAGAAACAGCAGCATCAGCAGCAGCAGCAGCATAAACAGCAGCAGCAACAACAGAAGCAGCAGCAGCAGCATCAACAACAGCAGTTGCTTCATCATCAGCAGCGGTGGCGGTCGCTGCAGCAGCTGCTGCATCAGCAGCAAGAGCTGCAACAACAACAGCAGCAGCAGCAGCAGCAGCAGCAACAGCAGCAGCAGCAGCTGGGGTGTATAGGCACCTCTATGGTTTGTTTGCTTCTGTAGATAGATCCTTCTCCTATAGCCTCTCGACTATTCTCTGTCTCTGCCTGCAGCAACAGCAGCACACGGAGGGTTTGCTGCTGCTGCTGCTGCTCCTGCTGCTGCTGCTGCTGCTGCTGCAGCNCAACAGCAGCACACGGAGGGTTTGCTGCTGCTGCTGCTGCTCCTGCTGCTGCTGCTGCTGCTGCTGCAGCTGTTGCTGCTGCTGCTGCTGCTGCTGCTGCTGCTGCAGTTGCTTCCTCACCTGCCAGGCCTCGTGTCTTTTCATTGCTCCGATTCTCTATAGAGCAGCAGACACAACGAAAACCCTAAACCCTAAACCCTAAACCCTAAACCCTAAATAAATTTCCTTTGAGCGGACTATGGAGGCTTCACAAGATATAGTTCTGCGTATTAGGGTTTAGAATTCAGGGTTTAGGGTTTAGGGTTTAGGGTTTAGGGTTTACATCTTGCTTCATTTGCTGCGCCGCCTTCGATATCTCTTTCGTCATCCGCCGCTGCTCCTTCTTCCTGAGCAGCAGCAGCAGCAGCAGCAGCAGCAGCAGCAGCAGCAGCAGCAGCAGCAGCAGCAAGAGCAGCAACATAAACAAACCAGCAGCAGCAGCACGAGCTAGTGCGGCAGCAGCAGCAACAGCTGGTAGTGCAGCAGCAGCAGCAGAAACAGCAGTTGCTGCTGCAATCATAGTTTTCTAGGGTTTAGGGTTTAGGGTTTAGGGTTTAGGGTTTTTTACATTTGTTCTGTCTGCTCCTTCATGTACATAATAAGGGCCTCTTCTATTTGCCTCTCCATCTGTTCTGTGGAGCAGCAGCACAACACAAACCCTAAACCCTAAACCCTAAACCCTAAACCCTAATATATAAACCCTAGAAGCATAAACCCTCAAAAACCTAAACCCTAAACCGAACCCAGCCAACTCAACTCGGCCACCTTTACCACCGTTCCATACATAAAAGAAACCTAGGGTTTAGGGTTTAGGGTTTAGGGTTTAGGGTTTATTAGGGTTTACGGTTTAGGGTTTACCTTTCTCTAGCTGAGCCCGCAGCTCTCTCAGCCTCTCTGTGTCTGCGGCTCTTCTCTTTCGCAGCAAAAAACTTTCTCCTTCGATCCCCCGTGTTTGGAATCTATACACAAACCCTAAACCCTAAACCCTAAACCCTAGATCCTAAACCCTAAACCCTAGATCCTAAACCCTAAACCCTAATATATAAACCCTAAACCGCCAAAGAAAGGAGGAAAAGAGTGGGTGACTGCTGATGCTTGGTGTATATGGGGGAGGTTACAGCTGCTCTGCTTTTTAAGGGTTTAGGGTTTAGGGTTTAGGGTTTAGGGTTTTTATAGTATGGGTGAGAGTGTTTTACATATTGATAGAGTTTCATTTTCCTTACTGTTCCATATCTATTGCTATATTAAATTAAATTTTTTTTTTTAAAAAAAAAAAAATTAGGGTTTAGGGTTTATTAGGGTTTAGGGTTTAGGGTTTATGAGGGTTTAGGGTTTGTACCTGATACCGTGTACTCTTGTGGCGTATTCATCAGTTTTTTCTACAGTTTGCTGCACCTCTCGCAGCATCTCTGAAATAGTGTTTATATGGATTGCTGCTTTCACACCGAGAGCAGCAACAGCAGTTGCTGCTTCTTTTCTCCCTAAACCCTTTATCCTCAGCAGCTTACTCATCTTCCTGCTGCTGCTGCTCCTGCTGCTGCTGCTGCTGCTGCTGCTGCTGCTGCTGCTGCTGCTGGGGGTGCTGGGGGTGGTGCTGGTGGTGGTGCTGCTGCAGAAAGACAGATACACAAAACACACACAACGACAGGATGATAGGTTTTGTATGCAAAAACCCTAAACCCTAAACCCTAAACCCTAAACCCTAAACCCTCGACTGCAAACCCTCGGCCCACCCTGGTCCAGTCCAGTCCCTCCGCTGACTCGGTAACCCTCACTGCTGTATTCTAAACCCTAAACCCTAAACCCTAAACCCTAAACTGTAAACTGTAAACCCTAATCCCAAAACCCTAAACCCTAAACCCTAAACCCTAGAAATACGAGGGTTTATGAGACCTCTCACCTGATGCAGAAGTTTTTGTTTTGAGGGTCTTTGGCTAGCAGCTGCAACACCGAGGCAGGGTCAAGGGTTTAGGGTTTAGAGTCTAGGGTTTAGGGTTTAGGGTTTAGGGTTTATTAGGGTTTAGGGTTTAGAGCTTTGAATTCTAAGCCGAATATAGTGCACACGCAGTTGTATAGAGACATATATATTGTGACAGCAGCAACAGCAGCAGCAGCAGCAGCAGCAACAGCAGCAGCAGCAACAGCAGCAACAGCCGCAGCAAGCTGCGGCAATGGCCAGCCTTTGAGTGACCCCCCCACCCGGACTCACCGACGCAAAACCCTAAACCCTAAACCCTAAACCCTAAACCCTAAACCCTAAACTTGACAGACAATTAAATATACAAATCAAATTAGGGTTTAGGGTTTAAAATATAATAATTAGGGTTTAGGGTTTTCATATTATGTGCAGATCTGCAGCAGCAGATAAACCACTGGGCCAGCCGCTGCTGCTGCTGCTGCTGCTGCTGCTGCTGCTGCTGCTGCTGCTGCTGTGTCGGCGGCGGCTGCTGCCGCGCAAACCCTAAACCCTAAACCCTACTTACTGTATAATCCCTAAACCCTAAACCCTTTTCATGTATAAATAGCTCAACAAAGATTATTAAAAAGTATAAAACTTATCATCTGATGAGGGTTTAGGGTTTAGGGTTTAGGGTTTAGGGTTTCTCGGCGTCGGCAGCAGCCTCCAAAGCCCTGCTGCTGTTGCTGCTGCTGCTGCTGCTGCTGCTGCTGTTGCTGTTGCTGCTGCTGCTGCTGCTGCTGCNGCTGTTGCTGCTGCTGCTGCTGCTGCTGCTGCTGTTGCTGTTGCTGCTGCTGCTGCTGCTGCTGCTGCTGCTGGTGAAGTAGTAGCAGTTGCTGCTGCTGCTGCAACTGCAGCGGAATTAATAAATTTTATAAACATCCACTGAAATACTGCAAACCCTAAACCCTAAACCCTAAACCCTAAACCCTAAACCCTAAACCCTCGGGGGGTCACCGAGGGTCCCTCCTTGCGGGTTCCTCCCACAGCCCTAAATCCAAAACCCTAAACCCTAAACCCCAAACCCTAAACCCTAAACCCTAAACCCTAAACCCTCGTGTGCTTTGAGCTACATTAAAGAGGGGCCCCTGGGGGCCCCCACAACCGCCAAGAGAAGCGGAGACAGAGAGAAAGACAGAGACAGAGAAATAAAAAAATAAAAAAAATAAAAAATAAAAAAATATACAAATAAAAAAATAAAAAGATAGAGAAAAAGAAATAAAGGGATAAAGATATAGAGAGATAAAGGTAAACACAGAGACAGAGAGAGAGACAGAGAAAGAGACAGAGAGAGAGACAGAGAGAGACAGAGACAGAGATATAGATATATACAAAAGGAGA